CTCACGGCCCTGCTCGGGGCGGGCGGCAGGGCCCTGTGGAGTGTTTTGGACAGTCAGTGCAATAGTTGAAATAGGCCTACCCATCATCTGCTCAGACTTGCAAGCGCTTTCCCTGCCCGTCTTCTGTTTCAGTGGCGAAGCTTCTAGTAGTAACTTAATGACTTAATCCCTCCCGGTGTTTTTTGCATGGGTAAGTCATCAATGTGGTGATAAACTTGTCATTAATAAAGACCGCTGTGTAGTGAAAGCTTCGAGGTAATTGTCATGATCACACGACTGGGAGTAAACACAGATCAGTTGGAAATAACCAGCTCAGGATGAAAGTTAGTGTTTTTGTGTCTGAGATGCAGCTCTGAAAGTGAGTTGTGCTGAGTTCTGGAAGAAGCCTGCCAGCTGCAGAATACCTGTTTCTTTCACGTGAACCACACTGTCTTCTAGAAAGGTGTTACTTAGTTGGATACCTTGGTGTTCCAGCTTGGACATTTAGGTGGAGAAAACTTGTCAATTTCTGCTAGTCATTGGGGGTTGGGGGCATTCAAGGTGTCATCAGGTAGAGACTTTGTGCTACACGTCCCTGCTTGAGGTCATAGCGAAGAAGTTCTAGTGGGTCAGGCCAGTTTTGTTGCCGTATACCAATAGAAAACTATTTTCTTTTGATTTAAAATACACTTTGAAATTCTGTGAAAAGCAGTGAAAGTGAAAAAAAGTTAAGCCACTACTGATCCTGAGTTGCTAAGATAATGCTTCTCCAACTCCATAGTTCAAATCTGAAGGACACAATTAGTTTCTCCTTTCCCAGGAGAAACTTTATTCTTCCTTTATTGTAAGGAAGAACAGCAGGTCAGGACAGTCAGTGTGAAGAATTTCTGACAGTTGTTTAAAGAATAAGCATTTATTTATATAAAATACTGGAAGGTTTGTATGTTATGGAAAAGATAATCTACATACTAATATGGATGACTTGGAAAAAAGAGAAACAACTGCTGTTCCCCAGCTTTCTGTCCCTTGATTTTGTAAATGTTGATTATTTGTAGCTTTCATATAATTTGGACAGTTTCCCATAATATTTTTTTTTTTACAGTTTCCTCTTCTTAAAGGGCCTTATAAAGTGTAATGGGTGAAGCTACCAAGTACAGAAACATATAGGAATGCAGCTACTCAGCCCTGGTGTGGCATGACATAAGTCTTTAAGAAAATTTGCTAATAGTCATAAACAATTTAGGAGGAAGGAAAGCTGAATAGTTGAGAGAGAATGTCACTACTGGAAACAGAACGTTTGCCTTTCTGATTTCTAACACCTGTTCTCATGTTTGTCTTTGATCATCACCTAACCATTACTTTATTGTTTGTTTGTTTGTGTGTGGGTTCTTTTCTGATGTTTGTTTGTTTACTTGCTTGTTTGTTGGTTGGTTGTTCTTTTTAAGTGCTGTGTGTACTGGTAGGTAGTATTCTTCTGAGCTGTGGCTTCTAGTCATGGCTTAGATAGAGGTTTTGCCAGTTAAAGAGCTACCAAATGTCAGCCAGGCAATTTCTTACTTACTTAGTTTCTGATAAGGCATTATTTTATTTTCTTGGAGAATCTGAGTTGGTCACAGTACTGGGGACTGGACTATCGTTTTGTTCCATCTTTGCATTCAGGCCTGTTTATGTTTCCTGGCAGTGCTTTAGTGGGGAAGGGCATTTGGGTCTTGAAGGTTTTCTTTCTGTCTGGAGTCTGGAAGACTTTAATACATCCATCTGGTGCATTTGCTTTACCCCTTCTAAGCATAGCTATTCAGCATCAAGTTTTCTTTCTCTGGAGTATGGATTTGATGCTTCTGACACTTTCTAACTGCAGCCCAGAGAGAAGGCTGATCAGAAAACTTCTGATAATAAGAGTCTGTAAACAGGAAAGACTGAAGCTTTAAAAAAAAAAAAAAAAAAGAATGAAAGAATGATGAAGTAAGCTTAATGAGATCTGGTGAATCTTAGTAGAAAGGATCCCAATATTCAGAACAATAAAGCTTTACTATGGTTTCTTCCTTTGAAAGACTGTTGTAACAGTCCTTTTTCCTAGTGTTTGAGTAAGCATTGCGAAGCTACGTTAGCTAAGAGCATAGTTTTTGAAAAAAGGTTGAATGCAGGGTAGTAGAATTATAGTCCTTGGGATTGCAAAGGATACCATGCTCAATCCCATCCATACCCTAACTTAAGTTTACTCAGCAAATGACTCTTGGGTACTCCTAACAGGCATCTTGTTTATGACTGTTAACGAAGTTTTTAATTGTGCTTTGCAGCAGTGTTTTCTAATATACTTTGTGTTTTGAACCAAATTAAATTGTTAACTAATCACTTTCATACAGGTGAGACGCAGAAGATGAATCTCTTTCAATCCATAACGAGTGCCTTGGACAATGCTCTAGCCAAAGATCCGACTGCAGGTATACTACACTTGTTAGTGTCTTTTGCTTTGTATAAATTTCATTTTGTTTTGCCTGTTTATTAAATGCATTTCTTGTGGCATTTAAAGTTTTCTAATGAGTTGTTTTTACACTTTGATCTCAAACAAATCTTAAAAATGTGTTGTATTAACAGATTATTAAGAGATTACATAATCTAAGATGCAGTTGTGTCTTCTGTGATAGCTGGGTTAATTTCACTTAGAAGTCAGGACAGAAAGATATATTGGTTAATATGCTTCTGGTATTACTGATGTGAACTGTAGTTAAGGGCAGCTTGAATCCCACTAGTAGGTAAATGAGTTTTAAAAATGTAAATCTTATTGTTGATTCTATCAACTCTCTATGCTCAGGAAGTTTTTTAGAGACTATATATTCCTTTCTTTATCCATTCTTTCCTCTCTCCTTCCCTGCCCTTCTCCCCTGCTCCAAAGTTTCTTTCCAGGTTTATTGATTTCTGTTCATGTCATGCATAGGTAATGTAAAGTTTTTCTAGGCTTTTGCAGTCTGGATAACCTATAACTTTGAAGATGGTAGTTCATCACAGCTTGATTTAAAAGGGTTATCCTAAACTCAGAAAGCTATTTACTCCACTTTTAATTCTTATACATAACAGGAGGTCTGTTGCTTCTTTTGTTGGAACAAAGGCATGATGACGGCCAGAAAGAGATGTTAGTTTTTTCTTTTTAGTGTGTTAGTAGCACCTTTTGGCACTGCTTGAACCACTGCTTAACCTGAAGTCTGACTAATTATCTCATCTGTTAGGGCAAATTCCATGTTACCTGTCCAGTACTATGCCTGTATACATTCCTTCTCAATCTACAGCTGTTATTACCACCTTTATTAAATTAAGCTTAGACAAGGGAGGGTAAATTAGTGCCAAGAACAGATTTTAGTGCGATTTCTGTAGAATCAGCCATATAAAAATAAGTAGACTGTTAGTCCAGCA